CGCAGAGTTCCTCAGCAAAGACGAGGTGCATCGTTCCTGCCGGGCACCCAACCAGAAGGGCTGTCAGCAGAAGCCAGGAGTCAGGACCTTAGTGCAAAGGCCAGCAGCAAGGGGAGCAGTGAGATCTGGAAACACAGAAGGAGAAGCACAAAATGCCAAGGAGATGATTTAAGAGACATGTCGTTGCATAACAGGGGACCCGGCTTGGGGAAGGAAGAGGTGCTTGGCTCAAACATCTCACTGCGCTTTGGTAACAGAAGCTTAATCAAAGCCTTCTCACTGGTGGTGTTGCAAGTACCTCACAGCATTTTTTTTTCCTAGGTGGTAAACTGAATGAACCTGTCTCAAAGGCTGTGAAGGTTGTGCCGTACAGACTGGTTTGGCCGGGTTGGTGCTTTACTGCAGTCAATAGATTTTTATCAGATGCTTTTACTTGTTAAATTTTCCTTGGTAGTGTGAACAATCCAGCAAATAATATAAATGATGGAGCACTAGGGGGGACACAGCCAAGGAGATCGCCTCTTTGGCTGGATCCTCTCCTGCACAAGGGAGGCTTTGTGCAAGCTCACAGAAGCACCGTGTTCAGCTTGCTGTGGGCAGAGCTTGCGGCAGGCTTCGGGCTTTGTCTCCGTGCAGTGTCAGGCTGGCTTCGTTAACCACGGGGCTTAAAACTCGTTAGTTCTGAGGTTGCGGCCAGGCTGCTGGGAGGCTGCAGTTCCTCATGAGAGGTGCCCATCTCCCAGCAGCAGTGGCAAAGAGGCAGGTGGTCCTTTGGGCAAAGGAAGAGGCTTGGGCTGACCTCGGGGAGGGTCCTGCGCTGCCCATGAGAGCTGCCATGGGGGTCATGCTTCTTTGGCACTGCTGACCTCTGAGACCTGCAAAACAGAAGGGACCGGTGTCACCAAGCTGTCTGACCCACAGCCCATGGGTCAAGGACATGGACTGGTCACGGTTCGACCAACACCTGGTCTCATGTGGGTTGTCTTTGACCCCTGCGGATCCAGATAACGTGAAATATATCAAGTTGTGCTCACAGTGAGTCGGGTGCCAGGCACCTCTGGCTCAGGCAGTGTCATCGTCAGCTGCCAGGGTCACCTATGGAAACACTCTGTTTGCGGCAACACTGGCATCAGGTTGGAACAGGCCAGCCGGTGATCGGGGACCAGTCTCGGAGCGGCATCCCCTCTCAGAGATGTTTTCCTGGCTCTTGCAGGGTTAAGTGGCCCCTTTGGGCATTAGATCGATTACAAATGGACCGTGGGATCTTCAGCTGCCTCCCAGCTGATTCGCATGGCATTTCAAACACAACATCACAAGAGCCAGGGTTAATGCACACAAAAGGCCCTTCTCAGTGGGACAGATAAGCACTAACAGAGTTATTGCAGGAACACGGAGAGAGTACTGAATTTCCTACGTGCAGGACTGGCTAAGTCTAGGGAGAAGAAGACAGCCATGAAAAAAATCCAAGGTTTCCCTGGAATGCCCCTGTCCTAAACATAACATGGTATGGACCCTGCCCTTGCTACTTCTGCAAGTAATAAGCATGTGTTCAAATGCTGAGAAGAAATCAGTTCAACTGATGCCGCCCTAGTCTGTACACAGGTTTAAACAAGCGCTCGAACCTGGATTTCCCTCCAGCCTTCTCCCAGCACCGTTTCCCGTCCCCTTGGCTGTCCTTATCCCCAGTATTGCAGAGGGCACCCAGGGGGTTGGTCTGGGCATGTGCATCCGCAGCCACCGCACGCCTCGCCAAGGAGAAGGGCGATCCGGGGATAACCTGCTGGGAGCACGTCAGCCCTCCAGGAGTCCTAGTGCCTTTGCTTTCTACCTCTGGCCAGCTCCTTTCACCCGTGGCTACTAATTAGTGCATACAACAGGTACTGTGATTTCTCTTTCTCAATGGTTTTCTCATCTTTGATGGAAGGAAGGAATTTTCCATCCCTCACACCATCCCACCGTCTCTGTCCTGCTCGTCAGAGGCACACTTGGCCTTTCATGAGCTGGGAAGGCACTTCTTGTCCCCACCAGGACCTGCCCGCGATAAAGCCCAGCCGCAGGGAGCTGTAGCCTGGTGGTGCCTCTGTAAGAGCTCCTGCTACCCTCCAGGCACCCTAACCACGGCCTCCATGTCTTTCACTTTTTTATATATATCCCCTTAAGCAGCACCAGAGCTCCTCCTGCCTCCTACTGCCCTTGCTTCTGCCTGCAAGTGGGACCAGGGTGGGCAGAGACGCCAGCAGGCGTGCAGAAAAGAAGCGCTGGGGCACGACAGGCTGTTCCAGGGAGAAACCGTCCAGCAGTGCCCAGGGCAGGAGGAGCTGTGCCTCAGAGATCCTTTCTGTGCAGGCAGATGGGCTGCACAACAGCCCCCGCCCGCCGTGGAGGAATGCCAGGAGGGTCCTGCGAGCTGCCGCGGTGATGGCGAGCTCACAGAGCGGCTTGTGCCCACATTCTGCTGCCTGGGTACCTCAGCAGCATCAGGGTGCCAAGCAGGGCAGGCAGCATGGGGCTGGTGGGGTGTCTGCAGGGGCATGATGGAGCAGGCAGAGTGCAGCAGGATGAGGCCCATGGAGGACAGGGTGGAAGACGGGGAGCTGGGAAGGGGCCCATTGAGTCTCCCCGTGTCCCTGCCCACCGCCAGGGAGCTTGGGACTTGCAGTACCCACGTACCAGGGCCAGGAACCGGCCCGGCACGCTCAGCATGGGCACCAAGCCCCTCCAGGCCGACTGCCAGCTGGCACCAAGCACCCCATCTTTTAGGCAGAGCAGGAGCAGGCAGAGTTTGCCCCAGGCTCTTCCTTGCACTCAGTCCCCTCCATCCACTCCCCGCAGGCAGCACATGCTGGCCTTGGTTGGGCTGAGTGCCGTGAAGAGGTGACGGCAGGACCAGCCCCAGTATTCGATTAGCTCCATCATCCCCCAACAAGCACTTTGACGAGGTGACGCTCTACAACAATGTCGCTGTGCTCAGGACAGCCGCCCTGCTGGAGTTCAGCAGCATCGTTCTGCCCACCTCCTTCCCCCACGGGAGCCTCTCTGCCTCAGACCTCGGGAACTGCTGGGTCTTGGGCTGGATCCATCCCATCGCAGGTAACCCCCAGCTCCTGCGGCAGAGAGCTCTCTTGGGCAGGGCAGAGAGCCGCCTTCCCGCTCCCTCCTGCCAACAGCCCCAATGGGAGGAAGGGGAACAGGGCTTGTCCTGGGAGGAAGAAGTACCCACTGGTCACCCATCCCTGTTTTTTGGAGGCCAGGGTCTGCCCGGAGCCACAGGCTCACGGTAGTCCCTCGGTCAGGCAGGGGAAAGTGCCGCAGTGACTTCCTGAGGATGCTGTCCGTTGTGGACACGGATCCCTGCCCGCTGAAAAGGATCGCTCGGCTGCGTGCTGCATCCACAGGGACACCGACGAAGTGCCAGGCTGTTTGGTAAGGGACACAGAGAGCCAAGGCAGACTGGGCAGACATTTAGCCAAACCGCCTCCTCCCCGCTCTCTGCCCATCTCTGACTCCAGGCAGGGAGAGCAGCCAACACAATCGTTGGGTTTCTCCTGCTCAGTCCTTACAGGAAAAGATCCCTTCCGCGCAGCTGGCAAATAGCAGGCGTGGGAGACTGAACGTGTGACAGCCGCCTCTGCGTGAGCTGCGGGGTGAGCGTCTCCCTGCAGGCCTGCAGGCGCTGCCTCCGGTCCCTGGACCTCTCCCGCTGCCGGAGCCTCCGAGGGCCTTTGATGTGGCCAGGCTCTAAGTTGCTTGGGAGGCAAAATCAAGAGGGGTTCCTTGGGGTAGGTACCAAAGGATCAGGCATGGGGCTGGGCTGATGGGGACATGGGCAACCGCGGGGAGAGGTGCTGGTCACTTCGTCTGGGGCACACAGGGACATCATCAGCCCCCTGAATCAGTGGTGCTTTGCTGCCAGTGATGATGAAGGACTGAACTGCTGTGATCTGCCCTCCTCTCACCCCGGTGAAGTCCACAGCCACCAAGAGCGATGGCAGGAGGGATACTGCTGAGACACAACCCTGCCTTTTTTGTCTCTCAAAAGGGTGATGCCCGCGACCCCGTCATGTGCCAGATTAGAGGGACTGAGAAATGGGTCCTGAAAGGCATTCTCGGTGAGGGTGGCATGAGATGCTCCCTGTACATCCCAGTGTCCTACTCCAGCGACTGGATCTTGGCTACCCCCGAGAGGACAGGACCTCCTGCATTCCCCACGCTAGTCAGGGTGCAAGCTGATCTGCAGGCTCCACCCAGGGACTGGGAAGAGGCTTCCAGACCAGCGGTGAGGATATTTCAGGAAGCTGCTTTCAACCCCAAGAAGCGAAAGCCAGTCCTGAACTCACACGAGGCAGGGCCATCCGAGATGATCTATAACTCCTGCAGTGGGAAAATGCTTCCCACCTCCAAGGGACGCTTACACTTGCCCCAGGTGCTTGGGAAAGGGGTAGCTGCTCCCTTCTTGCCCTTTTGTTTCTTTAGGTAAATGAAGTATCCTTTTGCGATCAGAAAGCCTGCTTGGTTCCTGCATGCCATGTTGAAATGTTTTGCCCTATAAGCTCACACTGCTCCTCTCTCTTCTGTTGTCGGTGCATGCTCAGAGATGTTGAACCCTCACATCTCCCAGCAAATCCCCTCCGGTGCCTCCTGCGTTGAGTGATCACCAGGGCTTGCCCAGAGAGAAAGGACAGTTCCCGTGAACATGTCAGATTTGATCACCAGAGAATAACTGCTTGTGGTGATGGAGGGAGCGGGGAGCACCCAGAGCAGAGCTGGCTGACGTGCGGAGGGGCCAGGCAGCGGAGCCTGGTGGAAGCCAGCCCATGTTGGGACAGACCAAAGAGCCGGCCTCACAACAGAACCATGGGTTTCTTTATCATTTCATGCAGAAGTGGTTTCATCTCACTGCAGCTTGCAGGGGGCTACATTGACCCACTTGGCAGCAAACTTCCCCACAGGGTTGACTCCTTCTGCAGCTTTCACTGCCTGCCTTGCAGCATCAGACAAGCCTAGTGCTGGTTACCAGACAGCCTGACCAGGTTCCATGCTCTGCAGTAGCTTTGCAAGGACATCTGCAAGAGAAGAAAGGAGGAGAAAGCCTTAATATGTTCAGATAGCAGTGATGATATGTTGTGGAGAAAGCTGCAAAGCTGGAATCTAGCCTGGCCCAAACTGCCGTACTGCTTGCCCCTTCATCCCCCCGTGCTCCCACCTGAGATGGGTGCTCACTGGGGCATGCTGAGGAGAGGTCCTGCAGGTCTACATCAGCTTTGGTTTCTCCCCTGAATGTCACAGGAAGCCTGGGGACCCCACACAACAGCACTGTATAGAAACCTACAGCCCCTTGCATGGCAGCAGGAGGACGCGCCCCGCCACACAGGGGCTAGCAAAGAAAATAGGTTTATAGCCTCATTCTTATCCCAGGGACAACTACAGGATCCTTCTTTAGCCTCTTGAGCCCTCGCTGCTCTCCAGCTCCCAGAGGCTGGCAGGACCCTGGGCGCTGCTGCGTAGACAGCATGCGAGCCAGAGCCTGGGTCTCCCGGTCAAGGGAACAGCTGGGTGAGAAGGGATCTGCTTGCACAAAGACAGGCCTGCAGGCAGGCTGCCCACCAGCTCCGGGGTAGCCACAGCCAGACCCCTGTTTCTGAACTCACAGCGCTGGTGCTGATGGGTCAAGCCCAAATCCACACAGTTCTGACCTGTGAGAAAGGCTGGACCACATAAGCCCTGTCCATTGCGGACTGGGGTGCTGAGGGTCTAAGTGCTGGGCTTAGCCCAGAGCCTTCCCCATCCCAGCCCCAGCTAAGCCCACCTCCGCTCGAGGACGAGCAGGGGGTCAAGGTACACGACCACACTATCTGTCCCATCCAGCCCAGCCACTTCTTTCCCCACACTGCTGCGCGCAGGGGACAGGGATACAGACGTGTCCTGCCACCTGCAGGCTTTGACTATGCTCCGCTGTGTTATCTCTCCAACTCCTCCCAGGCTGCAGGAGTTGGGGCAGGAGAAGAGTCAAAGCTAATCTGGCAACTTTGCCATGCACTCATGTCTGGATCTTGGCCAGCCTTTCCTTATCAGGGAGGAGTCAAGATACGAGTGAGTAAGAAATGTCTGAGATCATCCAAGGGGACTACAAACACTGGGGAGCCATCAGGGGTGCTGGAAAAGGCCAGCGCAGGTTACATGCGCAGAGCCAGAGACATATCGGGCTGCCATACATCACCGCCTCCTTACACACGACAGATTTCAGTATAGCAACAGCCCGATGGTGCTTCCTGTCAAATTACAAGCTGTGTCCTTGTCTTGGCTTCCCCTTTGAGCTCAGTCATTAAAATTCACCCTCCGTCCTCAGGGTAGGGAGCGATGGCTGCTCCGTAAACAGGAAGAGCCTCCGGCTCTGCCAGGCACCTGTGAAACATCGGTGCGAGAACTCTCACACGGCGTCCCGGCGGGTCAGGAGCCAGCACTCCGGTCCCCGGGGTGGCTGCGGGTGGGCAGGCACGGATGGAGCTCCACTGGGACCCTGCACCCAGCTAGCACACGGCTGGGCTCCTGCACACCCAGCCTGGTCTCGCTCACTTTGGCGACTGCCACCTTCCTCTCCCAAGCCTTGAGGCTGTTTTGCAGGTCAGTAACAGCCATCTTCTTCTGCACGTAACTCAGCACAGGGGCGACGCTGTAGTCTGAGAGCTGCTTCCGCAGCTGCCAATTCCCACTCTCAGCTTTGGCTCGTTGCTGCCGGAGGAAGAGGGACAAAGGGCAAGGAGATGCTAGGGAACTGTCCCTTTGCCAGCTGGTGGCCAGTCCTGCAGGGAAGCAGGCAGGCAGGGTAAATTAAACCCTCGGCACTGCGGGGGAGCAGTGGAATGCATCCACTGGTGCCTCCATCCCTGCCAGGCAGCACTGCTAGGGAGCGCCTTGAACCCACTTCCCAAAGCTGTGGTGTCCCTGCCAGGCTATGTGTCCCCAGACTGGTATGACAGCACTGCCACTTCTCCCTGGGGAGGACACTGCTGGTGAAAAGTTCAAGGAAACAGAATTTCAAGAAGCCAGTGGCAGGTCCCTATGGAGCCAGGGCCAAAAATCCACAACATGGCTTGTTCTGCAAACCCGCCCCTGCTCACTGGCACTGGCAGGAGTTCCAGGACTTGCTCACATCCAGAAAGGCACACAGGTAGCCACTCATTGCCAGGCCTCGAATGGGCATCGATATCCACCATACCACAAAAAATACCTCAAAAGAGTCTTCCCAAGTGAAGTCCCAGGGTCTCCCAAATCACTCCCTTACCTCCTCCACCAGAGCAGCTTCTCTTTCCATTTTCTCCAGCAGCTCCTTCCTCTGGGAGATGTCTTTCATTAGAGACTTGGATGTTTTTATGGTGTCCTGCAGCTACCTCTGGAAGATGAGAGCAGGACAGCACCAGCGGGTGCAGCAGCAGCTCCCAGCCTCCTGCAAAGCCACCCCCGTACTCCTCCAGCTTGGTCTCAGCTGGCAGTGCAGGAGCTCTGCTCCCAAGGGAGCTCTGTGGCCCTGCTCCTCCCTTGCAGAAGGCAGCATCATGCCCTGGTCACGCAGCTACCGCTTCGTTATGTCCTGTGTCACACCGCAGCGCAGCCCACGGCACAGCAGCCGGGGTTTTGGCCTGACCCAGGCAGAATGGCTGATCGGGGGGAAGCAAATACATCCCGCTGAGAAGCACTTTTCACTGCTAAGAGCAGAGACTCGGGGGGGACGGCTGCAGTTCGTGACATCTTTAAATGTCACAGGTTCTGTAAAAAATGTATTTTCCTGTGGAAGTCAGCACCAAAGCTCTTTCCTACGGGAATTTTCCCCTGGGCTGTAAAATAACCCTGCTGCAAAGCATGAGCTGCATCGTCAGGCTGCGGTGAAACATGAATGAGGGCAGTGCTGCTTTTGGTGTGTCAGGCAAACCGCCCAACCGAACTGCTCAGTTGGTGGGAAGGCAGAGAGGTGTTCAGCGTTCTCTGACTGAGAAAGGGAAGGATGCAAGAGCTGTTAATCAGATTGTGTGTGACCCTTGGAAACAGAAGAAAAGCAAAACGGAGGTGCTGGGAGGTTCACCCACTTTATAGAAGTTGAGGACCTTGACAGTTTTCTCGATGGTCAGTTTTAGCTGCAGCAGCTCTTGGTTCTTCTCATCAATCTTCTCCTGCTGCTCAGCATTTCTAACCCGCAGCTGCTGCAAACGGACCTCACGGAGTGTCTTTTCCATCTGCCCCTTTCTGCAAGCCCCAAGGAAGCAGAGCTGTAGGTTGCTGACCAAAGCAGCATCCCAAGAAAAAAAGCTTTGCTCTGTGGGGAAAGCAGACCTAAAGAACAGGGTCTTCAGCCTGGCTTGCAAACCTGGGGCCTGGGGGAGAAATGCGAGACACAGCGTGCCACTGAGCCTGTGCTCTGTGTCCTTGCTTAGAGGCTCCAAGCAGTGCACGGGCCCCCTCTGGTGAGGCTCCTGCCATGCCAGCAGCAGCCAGCCCCCAGGGAACCGTTCTGATCCACCCTCCATCTTTCCCAGGGCAGAGATCTGCCAGCTTCCACCCTGTGAGACTTCTGCCCTCATCCCATGGATGCAGACACGTGCCAGGTCTGAACCTGGGCAGACGACGGTGCCCTTGGACAAAGGCAGCAAGGCCAGGAGCAAAGGAGGAAGAGGAGGCGGAGAAGGGCCCCGCATCTCTACGCAGAGGAGGCCCTGCTCTGCGCTGGGCTGTACTCCTCTTGTTCTTCAAGGGACCACCTAGTCCCTGCTTCTCCTCAACTGCCACACGCACCTGCCTGACCTGCGGCTGCAGCTGCGTCTTGTAAGCCTCGAGCAGGTCATTTTCTAAGCGCAACTTCTCTCTCGGCAGATCCTAAAGAAAAACAGCGGATTATAGTGGAACAGCAGAGCCTGTGTCCTGTCCCGCTCGGCAGGGGTGGGCGGAGGTCATCTTTTACAATGCTCGGTGCGGTTCGCGGGAGAAACCACAGGCTCTCCGGAGGTAGAAGCAAAAGAATTAACTTTATTACAAACTTTCCCTAAAACTGTGGTGGAAGGAATAAAAAGACTAGACGAGTTCTTATTCTTATAAAAGGTCCGGAATAGAAGGAGAAAAGGAGAAAAGACAGAAAGAAAGAGAGGAAACAAAGAGATAGGATCACCCTCTGTGGATCCAGCAACGTCTTCTCAGTCTGTGAATTGGAGTCCCCTTGGCGAGTTGGTCGGTGGCTCCGCCAGGGTCCCGGGTGGAGGAGCGCGCCCCATGGCTGACGGGCAGTCGCCCTTTTATAGGGTTGGGTCCTTTTGGACTCCTCCCACAGGTGGAGACTCATTTGCATGCTTGCACATGCATGGTGAGCTACTTCTGGAACGTTCCGGAAGGCGGTAGGGGTATCAGGGTAGCCCCCAGACTCAGTTAACTTTGTGCTTTGACGGGGCATGGGCACAGGACGTCGCGGTCTCCCAGCAGTTTCACCTGCGCAGTTATCTCTGCGGTTTCAGGGTAGTTGGTCAGCACAGGGAACCACCCCACACCTTTCTGGAGCGTGACTCGCTGCTCTTCTTCCCTGACGTGTGCCCAAGCGAACACAGGCTGCTCACCACAAACAGGCCTTCAGTCTCCTTCAGTTTGTTGGTTTGAGACACCCAACGAAAAGGGGTCCCTTGACCACCACAGCCTGGGAGGAGAAAGAGCACCCAGATCCCACTCCTTATGGTGCAGTTCCCGTTCAACTCATCCGCACTGCAGCCTTCACTGCTGTCTTAGAAAGGAGCCCAGCGAGGAACGCTGCTCAGCGTCACCCTGCCCCAAGCGTGGGGGCACGGCCGTGCACTTTCCAAGGCTCCGCTATGGGCCCTGTAGCATCTGTGCTCGCAGCCATGCTGCAGCTCAGCAGCCTGGTGAGCACCTGGGCTACTCACCCACTGACGAGTGTGCCGAGGGCTCTCTAAAGAGACTTGCTAAGCCAGTCTGAAAACCTGATGTAGGCCACACAGGAGTATGGGAACTAGGATTTTCCCTACCCAACATACTTGTCAGATGACAGACCAACCTCAACATTTGCCATCATGCACTGACCCTCTGGCAGTTCTTCTCCTCCATGTATCTCAGCAGCTTCTCAGAAGCTATGATACTCCCTTTCTTGCTGGAAACGCTGATGATGATGTCTTTCTCAAAGTCACTGGTGGCTTTCTTAACATCAGTCCACCAAACATCTGCTTCTTCAATGACTGCCTGTAGAAACAGAGTCACTGAACAGTCAAGAGGTGGTAACTTCCTTTATTCAGACAGCTTTGGGAACAGAGAACACCAGAAAGGACCAGGCATGCTCTCTGCTGGCGTTACCAGCGTTTCTCCTGTGGGAGCACAGAGTTTCACCCTTTGCAGCTCAGGCACATGGTGCAGGCTCATACAGCACTGCTACTTCACTGACTCAAAAAGAACGAGGAAAAAAATCTCTCATGTGCCTGAGCTTCAACACCTGTCACTCCATTCCGACCTACAACCATTGCCAGACTGACTAAGCCAACACAAGACACGTCACCACCCTTTGTTTCCTGCATATACCTTGTGGCCACAGGAGAGGGATGGGCTGCCTGCTTCACCTCTCCTGGCCGCTGCAGGGAGCATCAGTGGTCTGAACCAAACACAGAGGTCTCTCCTTCCCCAAAATCTCCTGAGCATCTTGGCTAGGAGGAGATCTTGGCAGCCAGCACAGGGCAGGCAGAGGTGGTGATACAGCCACAAGGAGCCTGCAGCAGGAACACAGTCTTGGAGCATCCTCTGAAGAAATTGCAGAGACAGCAGAAAGGCAGACCCTGGAGAAGACTGCATGGAGCCCAGCCAAACCAGGAAGCTTCTGGGAGCTGCTAGAATGAAAAATACGTCTGGCACAAAGGGCACACCTTAAAGAAGTTGACAAAAAGGAGATTTTTCTTTTGAGTGTTGACTTCTTCATCTCACACAGCAGATCTCAGCTTCTGAAGCTAAAAATCTTCCCCTCACCTGTGTTATTATTAGTTCCTGCCATACTAAGATCCATCTTTAGAAACTGGGCACCTCTGATCTCTGTCGGTGTACTTGCCTTCAAGAAGGGGGTGAGGTGGGAGGACAGTTCTGGCTCCCAGTCTCAGCTCAGGACCACTCACAGCAACGCTCTGCTATGAACAGCCCTCACCAAGCAAGTCTGTCTCGCTGCCTGAGGGCTGGCACAGTGAAAGAGGTGTGGAAAGTAACCAGACTGTTTAACACCTTGGTGATTGTAAGGGTCCTGGAGAGCTGTACCTCAAGGGTCTGCAAGGTCTGCTCTGAATCCTGCTTCATCCTCTGAATCTCATCCTCCACCTCAGTCAGCTCCCACTCAGCCAGCTCACATTTCTGCTCTGTTGTCAGGCCCACAGAACAGTCCGTCGCAGCATGCAACTTGGATTTGTACCTGCCACGTGTCTGCAAGAACCAAGGAATAACGTTAGAAAGCCAGCACTGGCTAACTGTTGCTGCGTCTTCCTGTGTTCAAAAAGAAAATGATCTCAACGGTCACGTTAGCAGGATTCCAGCTTCCAGGAAGGACGAGGAGGCTTCTCCAGAGCAGAGGTAACTCAGGGCCACACCTGGGCTGACCCCATCCATCCTCTCATCCACCCACAAAGCCCTCCCACGCCAGCACTTTCAGTTTAATTCAACAGGCAAATGCAGGGCTAGAGGTTAAAGCCACTGTGACAGCTTCACGTGGGCAGGTAGAACACCTCGTCGTAGTGAAGATGCTAATTGTTGCGTAGGACAGACGAGGTCTCCTACCACTGCCTGGGCCAGGCGCCCTGAGGAGCCGAGCTGACTGCAGCACGGGCAGGCTGGAGTACGCTGGCGGAAGGACTGACACCACCTGGGAGCAATTCCCAGTGCTGTGGGGCACAGGGAGCAGGCGCTGCTTCGCAGAGAGCCAGTGCCCACCTGGCCAAAGGCCACGTTCCTAAGGGCTCCGCCTGGGACTAACCAGAAAGCGCCAACTTTGGACTCAGGCAGGCAACCTAAAAGTGCAGGACACTGGCTGACAGGAGCTCCGCTGCAAAGGGTCTCGAGCTGCTGTTCACCCTGTCCCTGGTGAAAAGCGGCAGACGCTCTCTGTTAACCCCCTCCCTCCCCCCGGGAGGGGAAGGAACGGAGAAAAGGGAGAGAGACTTTACGGGCTGGAAATTAAAACTACTTTAA